TCTCTCTCTCTCTCTCTCTCTCTCTCTCTCTCTCTCTCTCTCTCTCTCTCTCTATTTCGTAAAACATTGTTTCCGTGTGAGAAATTGTAATCATCGATTGAACTTTCTGCATTCATGGAAGACACTTTATAACAAACGTGATAAATATGTTAATTTCAATTACAATTTAAACAACCTATTTATGCCGTAAAAGGCAAAGTACTGTCTACGTTTTATCTCATTTACCACGGCGAACTTGTAATAATGTGCGTATTCACGCACGCATTGTTCTTACGATCATTAAAGCAGCTTATCAAAACGCCGCTCCATTGTCTCTTATTGCGCCCATGATAAATATTTGTCTAAATTAAATTTAATAATTTAATGATACTTTCGCGCCGTCTCATCAATTACAATTTTAGGAAAAGAACGGGCAAGATAATGACTTTAGTTACGCGTTGACCACGCTGAAAATCGTTATTATATTTTGTGAAAGAAAGCTAAGAAGCCCAGAACGCCTCCGCGGACAAACTAACTTTCAACAGTGTGCCGCGATAAATTAATGGGCATTGGAGTGGCACGCAAAATTTGATTAATATTTCTCGTCGAGGAAATGTCAATGTCACTCGCAAATATGGACGATTAATTGAGCGATTCTTGGGAAAAGAATTACGAGATCTCTAAACGTATTGATGTCGAACAGACCCTTTCTGGGAAGCCTCGACATTTTCGTTCCCGAAAGGAATAGATTTCACAAAAACGTTTCTCAGCGCAAGGAACACTCGGTGGTTTTGTGAAACAGATCTGCACAAGCGTGCAGATCAAAGAAATCGAATTGAATTGTTTTGACAGCCCTTTTGACGTTTCGCCAAAATGTAATTCGCCCAGCGTTTTCGCTCTACGGCCGTATGCCTGTATGCGTCTGTTGCATTATTGAAGCGGCACGATAAGGCAGAATCTACTTAGCGCTGAACTCGATAGCGCGCGAGCGAACAAAATATACGGGCGCCGCGGCGCCGGCTGTGGCACGAGCGAGCGAGAGAGAAAGAGAGAGAGAGAGAGGGGAGAGAAAGAGAGTGCACTCACCGTTGTCTGCGGGAAAGGACTCCGGCAGAGAGGTAATCACAGATGATCCGTGGCCCGTCTTAACGCGAAGAGGACCAATGCAGCACTGACAGTTCCACCGTCCCTCTCTGATTCATCCTGCGACTCCCTCTCCGTCCTTCTCCCTCCCTAAGCCTGGCATAGAAGAGAGTAAGAAGGCGACGGTGAGTAAACGAGAAGGGTTCATGAACCCGTGAGGGAACCGCTTGGAGGGAGGGAAGTGTCAGGTGAACGTGGTGCGTCCTGCTAGAAATGACGACGTTCGGACAGGTCTGATCGCGACGGTCCCTCCCGCCGGATGGTGTCCTTGGAGGAGCTTCAAAGATGTAATAAAGTTTCTTCATGATAAAGTGATTTATCGACATGATGGATCATCCGTGGATGATAGACCAGTTGGTCATGCTTGATAAATTGAGGTCTTAACAGGTATTTCGTTAGAGTGCATCAACGAAAGGTTACGATCAGTGATAGACGACATTGTGTGGAATAAATAATCTATTAATAGTTGTATCGTATTAAAATTGCCATTTTTGTAGATTAAAATAAGACGTTGTATTAAAAAAAAAATACAATTTTATTTTTAACGAAGACACGTACCATTAAAAGTTTTCTTCTACGTGATATTGAATTATGCATATCACGTTTAAAGAATTCAGCGTTTTTAGAATAAATCCTCATTTAAAACTTATTTGACTCTTTCTCGAGACTCGTTTTTCCAAGAATGTGTGAGAGAGAGAGAGAGAGAGAGAGAGAGAGAGCTCAGAACGGTCTTCAGAATGAAATTTTTTGAACCACTGAATAGTCCTTTCGCTAACAGAGCCTTCCAAAGGCCGATATAATGCTTCTACCTGCCCCAGCTGCACTGTGTGCCCCAGTTTCGGTTCATATAAGAAAAATATTTTCGCAATCCTTTCGCGGAGAGCACACTGTTTTTTGTGTGGAAAAAATTAACAACAATACAAATACAATATAGCCCGTTTATCAAAGGAGATTGAAGTGCGCAAAAACCCTTTACAAATTACTAATAACACGACCGGAAATATACTTTCTATCAAGTTTACTAATTGCAATCAATTGACAATTAGTCAAATTTCATCCTGTGCAATCTCTCATATGTAGATCCTCTTTTTTACGTTGATTGCAGTTTAATGAGTATATACACGATGCTTCAGATATTTCATCGCGATCCGTATTGTGGCGGCAAAACATATAGTCGTTCAATCACAGGGAAAAGAAGATGACATTACGTAAGCCCGTGATGCACGAAATTTCAATATCCTCCATTAATTGTATTGCGATGCAGCGATAATTAGTGGCGCTCGATTGTAACGAGGAAACTAGGTATGCTTAAAGATAAAGTTTCGAGTCAGCATATTAATTGTGAATTGGCGTGCGCCGCATGCTGCTTGAATTTATTTAGCTGCACAACTTGTCTCGCGAAACTGCATACACTCCGGTTTTTTTTCCCCCTAAGCGATATTTACCTTCAGCAGCGGCTCCCATGCGTCTGCATTTGCGACTTTTCACGTGACGTTTAAATAATGTAACCGCTTGTTTTTACCACCTCCCGCAAAGTGGAGAGCTAAATTTCGTCGAGTAGCGTGATCAGCGCTGTGTATACCGCATATATTTACCGGTGTCCAGGACCGGTAATCGATTTTGTCCGACCCGTAGAGGCCGGAGAGAGTGGCGCAGCTCGCACTCCTATATACGAGCGGAGTCATTATCGAATGCGTCTGATCGCTTATGATAATGGCGTTTCAATATTCAGTAGATGAGTAAGCGGCCCGAGAGTCATCGGGTAGCGTCTAATTCTAATTCTCCTTTATACGTATATACCTATACATACAGGCGGCCACCTACCACCTTATACCGCTTGCGCTTGGGGGCCAATATCGAGGGCAATAATATTATTGCTTTCGTCGCGCCCGGCCGTGAGGCACCCACCCAGGCGCGTTAACGAGCGCAAGTCCGATCGAGTCCGATAAAGTCATTTCAACGTTGTTTCAGTCGATGTATCGCGAGGTAGGCCAGACCGTCTCTCGTCGGATCGAAGATTAACCCCTCCCTTCCCTCCGTTCCCTCCCCCACAGTCCTCCCGCGTTTAATTCCTCGTTGCGGTCTTCGGGGCCGGGGGTATCTGTCATTAGAAATAAGGTCGCGAACTATACGGATATATATATATATATATATATATACACGGGGGCGCGGTATATATCCGTGCACACGCGAGGGGAAGCGGGAGGGTGCCTAACCGCGAGATCTGCAGATGGTGCGGCGTCTCGATTCTGCCTAAACGGGGAAAGCCCGGGTCTCCGTCGTAAGCTTCCCCTCTGCACAGGAGCACATTAATTCTATTCCCTTTAATTAACGGTTCCGTGTGCCGCGCCAGCTTAAGGGGACCCTTTTCGAGGATAACGCGCGAGTTCCGCTATCGCACGAAATCCACGCTGCAACCGTTTTCGCCGTGACATTATGCGACGATATCGCGTTTGCGGGGCGAGGTTTCGGCCTCGCGTTTCTGCCGCTGTCGGGCAAGGGGAGAATCGTCCGTCGATCTCATCTCGCTCTTGAATTAACGCGAAGATTAACGCCGTTGTTGGACACCTTTTCCTCCGTAAAGCGAATGGCGATTGACAATTTGAATGTGGAATCAGAGGGGTAATACGGGGATAATTTTAGAAAACTCAATTTTCCAACGGTCGTCAAACAGACAAATTAATAGCTACGCGGCCAATGAAACTCGTTTGCTCACTTCTCGCTCGTGTGTGCCAAAGGGGAGAATAAATTTCTACTAATGCAAAAGCTGGAAAGGGCCCCTCTCATGATTACTACATTTTTGCTTTCAAGACCGCCCGCTCGTCTCTCGCTCAAATACGCTTTGTGCGAACGAACTTTCTCGCAAAGTAAACTCTCTCTTTCTCTTCCTCGGCGAATCGAGACGGTAGAGAGACAAAACCGCGGCAAAAGTTTTCTGGAAAAAGGTGCAATTTAACTCTTTCGAGTGCATGAATTGTCAGCGGGAATACAAGAACTTGGCGAAATTTCTTTCACGAAGGACGCCGCGAATTCGATTTCCCGCAGGCAATTTTGTCCCCAAAATACAGTGCAGTCTCTGATACAGCTCTATTAAATCTTAATTAATCTTAATTTTGCATCTTCTCCTCGCAAAAGAGGGTCACACCGCATGAGATGTGAGGTGCGCGAAACGAATCACGGTTATTTTCACCTCGCTCCACGTTTATGACATAAATGTTATACCGATATCTATCTTTCGTAGGTGGTAGAGGAAACGCGTGACTCATTTCTTTTTGTTCACCATGATGTGTTACATAAATGTTACATCATGCTTCCATTAAGGTATATGATGGAAGCGATCTTTTCTGTTCTGATTCGCGCGGCATATTGTTTGCGTCGCATTCTACTGTGATAATGTAAATAATGTAGGAAAATAGAGAAATTAGAACTTATTATAAATAGAGTGGCCGAAAGTGCATAATATAAACGGGAAGAAGAGGATTATCTATGAAAGAGCTAAAAAAGATGCAGAGTAAGTTTAACAAAGAGAATAATTAATTCATTCTCCATTATACGTCTCGAATTTTCAAAATCGCGACAACGAAACCTTTGGAAAATTATTTTAAACTTTATATTTTATTGAAATCTTTAAAGAATATTTCTTTTATCTAAAATTTTTTTTTCTTATATAAAATCCTTTTCTTTCCACTGTGTATTTTATATATGGCTATATGTACCTATATTTTGTTTGGCATCTAAATATAAGAATAATTTTCTCGATGTTTTCTAAAAAGATAAGTATAAATAATACACAAATGTATATTATTCATATTTATTGGTTATAAATAATTCATATTTATAAATAAGACTTTCAATATTTATAAATAATATATAAATATATATTATTTATTGCGTGCACGGCATTAGCAATGCCGACTTCTCTGCTAGTTTAATTCAATCTAAAGAAATTAATAATAAATTAATTTACGATAATGGAAGCGAACAAAGTTTGGCTTTCACTAGTTGCTACGCCGCAATTGATTCGATACCTCCGAACTACCCTATTCGACGTGCCAATAATGGCTCGCGAGTGGTCCAATTTCGGCAGTTCCGGCCGCTAGTTCAGGCCAAGACGATCGACAAAGGTTCGAGGCACTCCGTGCCCCGACTTCGTTTGGTCGAGATCGAATAACGGGCGACGTGACTGCCAAGATTGCTTCTCGTCGCGAGATGAAAACTGGAGAAATAGGGATAAGCGCGTGTGTCGTCGCTCGTGCGAATAAAATTCGTAAAGGCGAAAAGGAATTCAAATCGCTTTCGTCGGCGATATCATACGGCCCGAAATGCCTATCGCGAACCGATTTTCGATCCTGCCGGTTTCGAGTACGTGCGAAACGTGACTTCGACGGAGGGCGAGGAGGAGGGGGACGAGGGGCCGGCGACGTTCGTCTCCAAAATAACGTGGCTGGCATGGCCCGATGCGAATAAATCTAGGCTGTTTCCAGTTCTTCCTCCCTCATTTACAATCTAAATAAGATCACAAACATTTACACCTAGGGTATACATTTTATTCTGCATCTTATTGACGTGTTTCTATCAAAATTTCGGAAATTATTCAATAATTATGTAATACAGTTGGATCTATGCATTTCAGAAAATGCTCTTTATATTTTTTTTTTATTATATAGATCTAATCTAATTTTATTAAGACACGCGTGGCAAAACGTTACTCATCTTTATCGCACAAGAAGAATTTCTCGCGTTTCTTCACGGTTCTTCATCATGAATTCAGATGGCGGTACCTGGAGACGTGTCTGATCTAATATATATCTTTTGCTACTTCGCTCTTATATTTAATCATGTCATTTTCGTCTTCGGAAAATGCTACGTGAGTAATTAATTAAATAAATTCGTTTCTATTTTACCGCTTTTGAAGTATATTTTACATAATTTAGCACACACGAAGTTTTATAAATTATTACTGTTAATGCTGTATTCTGTTCCATTTGTTACATGAAATATTAAAGATCGTGTGTATGTGTGCAAAA